ATGTACCTTGGTTGCGGGCACATCCCCAGTAGGGGACGTGCAAGAGGCAGCTGATCGATGTTTCTCTCTCATCGATGTTTCTGACTCTCTATCCCTCTCCCCTCCTCTCTGTAAAAAATCAATAAAATATATTAAAAAAAAAAGAGAAACAAACAAAGAGAGAGGACTCATCTATAAAATCAGAAATGAAAGTGGAGAAGTAACCACTGACACCACAGAAATACAAAAGGTTGTAAGAAAATACTCTGAACAACTATATGCCAACACGGTGGACAATGAGGATGAAATGGACAAATTCCTGGAAAAATACAATCTCCCAAAACCGAATCAGAAAGAAGCCGAAAACCAGAATGGGCCAATAACAACTGATGTAATAGAAGCAATAATCAAAAAATTCCCAGCAAACTAAAGCCTGGGTCCAGATGGCTTCACAGGGGAGTTTTACCAAATATTCAAAGAAGTAACACCTATACTCAAACTATTTCAGAAAATCCAAGAGGAAAGAACATTTCCAAGCTCTTTTTATGAGGCCAACATTATCTTAATTCCAAAACCAGATAAAGACACTACAAAGAAAGAGACTAACAGGCCAATATCCTCAATGAACATAGATGCTAAAATCCTCAATAAAATATTAGTAAATTGGATTTAGCAATATATTAAAAATATTATACCCCATGACCAAGTGGGATTTATTCCAGGGATATAAGGCTGATACAATATTTGCAAATCAATAAACGTGACACATCAGATAAACAAATTGAAAGACAAAAATCACATATTCATATCAACCCTTTGTACGCCATAAGCATCTATAGATGCAAGTAGTGGACCTTCCTCACACGCCACGTGTCTATAGCCGAAAACCTCACATATCAACTCTGGTCACCCAATTTTAAAATCAGACTTGTTAGTGACATCTCTGGGTTTGTAAAGAAATTTATGATAACTTAAATTCATAAATATTCCAGCGCATATGGAAGAAATAGGGATGGTTTCCGTTTGGACCAGTTAACTGGTCAATAGACACAGAAAAAGCAATCGACAAAAATCCAACACCCTTACAGCAACGGGGAATAGAGAGAGCACATATCAACATGATAAAGGCGATATATGACAAATGTACAGTGAACATTATACTCAATGGGCAAAAACTAAAAGCATTTTCCCTAAGAACAGGAACAAGACAGGGATGTCCCCTTTCATCACTCTTATTCAATACAGTACTGGAAGTCCTAGACACCAATCAAACAAGAAGAAATATAAGGCATCCAAGAAGAAATAAAAGGAGGAAGTAAAACTCTCATTATTCACAGATGACATGATATTGTACATAGAAAACCCTAAAGATTCTATCAAAAAACTACTAGATTTAATAAATGAATTTGGCAAAATAGCAGGATACAAAATCAACAACCACAAACCGATGGCTTTTTGATACACCAATAATGAATTCTCAGAAAAATACTAAAACACACACACACACCATTTACCATTGCAACCAAAAAATTAAGACTTAGGAATAAACTTTAACCAAGGACGTAAAAGACTTGTACTTGGAAATCTACAGGACCTTGAAAAAATATAGAGGAAGATATAAACAAGTGGAAGAATACACTGTGTTCATGGAGTGGAGTGGTAGAATTAACATCATTAAAATGTCCATACTACTCAAGGCAATCTACAGATTCAATGCAATCCTTATTAAAATAGCAACAGCATATTTCACAGATCTAGAACAAATACTCCAACAATATTGAGAAAGAAGAACAAAGTTGGAGGAATCACAATACCAGATATAAAATTATACTACAAAGCCACCGTACTCAAAACAGCCTGCTACTGGCACAAGAACAGGCATACAGATTAATAGAATAGAATAGAACAGAGAACCCAGAAATTGACTCAAGCCATTATGCTCAATTAATATTTGACAAAGGAGGCAAGAGCATACAATGGAGTCAATACAGTCTCTTCAATAAATGGTGTTAGGAAAATTGGACAGATACAGACTACCAACTCACACCATACACAAGAATAAACTCAAAATGGGTAAGACTTAAATTTAAGTCCGGAAACCATAAAAATCCTAGAAAAAACCATAGGCAGCAAAACCTGAGATATCTCTCGTAGCCATGTTTGCAGATACATCTCCTAGGGCAAATAAAACTAAGTAGAAAATAAACAAATGGGACTACATCCAAATAAAAACCTTCTGTACAGCAAAAGAAACCATCAACAAAACGAAAATGAAGCCCACTGTATGGGAGAACATATTTGACAATGATACATCTAATAAGGGGTTAATATCCAAATATATAAGGAACTCATACAACTTAACAGAAGGAAGACAAACAATCCAGTTAAAAAATGGGCAAAGGACCTAAATAGACACTTCTCTAAAAAGGACATGCCAATGGTCAAGAGACATATGAAAAAATGCTCAGAGTCACCGATTATCAGAGAGATGCAAATTAAAATGACAATGAGGTATCACCTCACAGCTGTTAGAATGGCTACCATCAACAAATGCAAGTGCTGGGGAGGATGTGGAGAAAAGGGAACCCTAGTACACTGCAGGTGGGAATGCAGACTGGTGCAGCCATTATGGAAAACAGTATGGAGTGTCCTAAAAAAATTTAAAATGGAACTGCCATTTGACCCAGTGATCCCACTTCTAGGAATATACCCTTAAGAAACCCTGAAACACCAATCAGAAAGAGTGTATGCACCCCTATGTTCATAGCAGCACAATTTACAATAGCTAAGATCTGGAAACAGCACAAGTGCCCATAAATAGATGAGTGGATTAAAAAACCGTGGTATAATAAAGTATGGAACTGATTGTGGAATCTCTGAGGGAAGGAGAGGGAGAGTGGGTGGGTGGGAAGACATCAGCCAAAAAACTTGTATGCATATATGTATAACCCAGGGACACAAAAAATAGGGTGGTGAAGGCCTGGGGGAGGGCTTGGAGGAGGGCTAGAATAGGTCAATGGGGAGAAAAAGAGGGCATATATAATACTTTCAACAATAAAAATTTTAAAAATGGAGAATGGTTTGAAGCATGTTTGTGGCAAAATTCAAAGCCTATCAGAGAGACCTAGAGAGTATTATGGAGAGACCTAGAGAGTATTATGCTAAGCCAAATAAGCCAGTCAGAGAAAGACAAGTATCACATGATCTAACTCATATGTGGAATCCAATGTAAACAATTTAAACTGATGAACTGATGAACAAAATAGATTGAGATGTAAAAGCATGGAACTGTGGAATTTCAGAAGGAAGGTGGGGGATGGTGATTGGGAAGAGATCAACCAAAGAATTTGTATGCACATATGCATAACCCATGGACACAGACAATAGGGTGCAGAAGGCCTGGGGAAGGGGTGGGGACTAGAAGGAGTCAATGGGGGAAGGGAGGTGAAGGGGAGACATATGTGATACTTTCAACAATATTTATTTTTTTAAAAAATGAAAAGATAACATCTAGGTCTTAATTACATTTCAGCTCCAGGCCCAGAAAAGTAGCAAAACCAGACAAGTGTCCCTCAGGACTAGCTACATTGACTAATGACCCCCCTGCCCAGGCACGGACCAACCAGTGGAGACCCTGACCCAGAAAGAGCACACCTGGAAAGCTGAAGAATATTCATCAAGACCTCCCCTGACAACTCCCCTAAAATTTCCACAAGAAAGAGATAAATAAGCTCAGGACAAAGGACCCAGAGCAAGCTCTCCCTTCAGAGACCACACCCATTACTGGTGATATTCCCTTCCCCCACAGGCACGTTTCCTCCGCCTTCTACCCGGACCCCAGGAGTCTTGCAACCCCGAGAAGAAAGGGCAGCAGCAGCTCATCTGGCGAAGTTCCTGAACCTGTCGCCAAGACCCCCGCGCCTCCCTCAGACTTCTCAGTGAGCCAAAGCAGCCCAACCTAGGCTTCCCTCTCGCTTCTACGCTCTGCCCTGTTCACTGTCCTCAGTATATTTTTGCTGCCATCATGGACCCAACACCCTTTGGCTCCGTGCTGTGTACCCCTTCCCTTTGTATATCCCGATCCCCCAACCTCTTTCCTTAAATAAATCCAATTTTTCTCTATCCCCCATCTGAGAATGGCTATTTATTTAGCCTGACCACGCACCACCGACTTTAACCTTTCAGAAATATTTTAAACTGTCTTTAAAACTCTATTAAGTAAACACATGTTACCCTTACTGAAAAACGGGGGCTTACAGAAGTGAATAAAGCTTTTAAGGGTAACTAATCCAGGAGGACCCCCCACCCAAAAGACTTTTTTTAAAAAAATTTTTAGATTGATTTTCAGAGGGAGAGAGAGATAGAAACATTAATGATGAGAAAGAATCATTGATCGGCTGCCTCCTGCACGCCCCCCACTGGGGATGGAGCCCACAACCCATGCATGTGCCCTTGACCGGAATGGAACCCGGGACCCCTCAGTCGGCTGGCTGACGCTCTACCCACTGAGCAAACCGGCTAGGGCCCGAAAGACTTCTTATAGCTTGTCTGTGCCCAGGTAAGATCCTGAGTGGATAGGCACAAAGATTTCATGGAAAGTGGTTCCACCTGGTTAATTTTCTGTTTCCTCTCATGTAAAATATCCACAGAACAGACATCATCTTTAAAAATGAGCCATTCATGCCTCCGGGGAAAATTATAAAGTTAAAATACAGGGTCTGTTTGAAATACACCGGCGAGAAAAAGCAGCTGATGGTGCTGTGAGTAGCAGAGGGGAAGGTGGCGTTTGGGAATGGGGGGGAATCTTAATTTTAGGGACTTACTGCCAGTCCCAGTTAGAGTTAGGCGGTGGCTGGGGGGTCGGGGGTGGGCAAGGGTCGTGAGTTTCAGACTCTGCTTCGCAAACATTTGGAAGACGGCAGAGAAAACAGGTGCTCCGAGGTGAAAGTTGGGACCGGGGACCTCACGGACCACAGCTCCGCCCACGTCGGAATTCCGGGAGGCCGAGTACTGCGGCCCCCACGACCCTCCACGTGGTCACCTCACAACCTGGAAGGATGCTGGGCTGTGTGCGCAGAGCTGATCGGAGCGGGTCTAAGTGCCCGCGCGGGGGCGGGACA